GCCCGCGCGACAGGGCTTGCTGTCGTCGTCGCCGCCTCTGTTTTTAGTATCTGGGCGCTGAACTCGGGGCCTTCGCACCCACCCGCTTCCCCAGCCCGGTAAAAGTTAGTGCTGGTGAGGGAGACTGGGCCTCCCCGCCGTGCTGGCAGGCTGGGCAGCACCGAGGGCAGAGACGACAGACAGGCTGCGCTTCCTCGCTCGGCCTCTTTTTTTTTTAATTGACCAAAGTCATTCGATTCAGTGCCGAAAGGCAGACGCTGCCAACGCGTACTGGAATGAACTCACCAATTGATGTTTGCTTGGTATTTTAAGTTGTGAGGCCTGCGTCCTCGGGAGGCTGAGGCAGGAGGGTCGCCTCGACGTGGAGGCCAGCCTGGCCATGTAGCGAGAGGTTGTTGCACACAGAGCTTCAAATGTGCAGTGTGAGGGTTTCAGACCGTCACCCCTGCCCCAGCCCGCTCGCACCTTGTCGCTTTCCAGGTGGTGATCAAGCGGATCTGCGCAGAGCCCGGCCCTTGGCATGGTGCCCGCAGGCAGGAAGCACCCGGGGAAGGCGGGGAAGGCACCCACCGAGGAGCAGCCGGGGAAAGCCTTCGGCTCCGACAGGGTCGTGCGCGGCCTGAGCGGCTCCGAGGAGGAGGACGAGGAGGACTCGGCGTCTGCAGGTCCTGGCCCCGTTCTCGCCCAGAGGGCCGCACCCCAGGAGGCCTGCAGAGACCCCCCCCATCCCAGAGGGTCACAGCGAGGCTGCGGCCAACCTGGGCTACATAGGGGGCCCCCCCTCTCAAAAGAATCCAAAGCAAAACCAAACGAACAAGTAAAGCATGTTGGCCAAATGCCAGAGGCCGCCAAATGAAAATATGGCTTCTTTGAGATATACCAAGAAAGCACATTTAATTTTATTTCCTCTTTTCATTGCCAATACAGGAAAGATTCCAGTAATTGAAAAGCGTGGGAAAAAAAGGTCTTCAGAAATCCTGGAAGATATGGGGTAACGTGTCCAAAACAATGCTGAGAATTCTAACAAGTGTTTAATGAGTCATATGTAAAATGGTTGGCATGCAGTATTCCTCCATGTTTTATGAATCTTTAATTAAAAGTTTGTTGTTTTGGAAGCTGGGCGTGGTGGCACACACCTGTAATCCCAGTACTCGGGAGGCTGAGGCAGGAGGACCGCTGTGAGTTCGAGACCAGCCTGGGCTACATAGCGAGTTCCAGGTCAGTCTCAACTACATAGTGAGAACCTGTCTCAGAAAAACAAAAGTTTGTTATCTTGTTCTGTTTGGCTTTTGCAATGCTGGAGGTTGAATCTCTAGGCAAGCACTCTACCACTGAGCTACCACCCCCCGCCAGTCCTAAAAGGCTTAAAAATGTAATTTATTCACAGGGGTGAAGTACAGAATATGCTGGAAAAATTTGGAGGTATGATTTTGGAGATACTTGTATTTAGATAAAATTGTTTAAACCATTGTAATTTGTATAATAGGAAATGTTAACAGTAGACTATGTCAGTGCCTTGTTTACATAAATGTGTTTTAGCTTCATAGATTTCCTTATTTACCTTTTCAATGATGTGAATGGGAATAGCTTGTAGACATGATCTAATGACATTTTAGAAGAAAAATAGATATGTAACACATTCATGTGAGTACAGCTCCATTATATATACCGAAAGGTAACTGGTAAATCCACAATAAAGGTATATGTTTAGCAAAGTACTAAGCTAATAAAATTTGCATGAAATATAGTACTTAGGGGTAAAAATGTCCTATAAAAACTGCACAAAAGTATTTAAGTGTTCTCAAATTTATCTGGATACTTAACATTAAGATGTTTGCTATCTTTGGTCTGTGTTTCTTTTAGTAAAAGATACATTTAAAGGTATCATTAACTATATTTTTTGCACATCATTTTCTTTTTGATATAACTGTCTTTTTTGTGTGTTTTATATTGAGTTCTAACAATAATTCAGCCAAATGTGTTCTTTTGGTTGGGGAATATTTTATAGATTTAGAAAACCTAAGCCTTTATTAAAGTGTTTTCTCATGAGGAAATCGAAGTCTTATATTTTGTATTTTTGGTTTTTGTTTTGTTTGGTACTGGGGATTGAACACAGGGCCTTATGCTTGCCAGGCAGGGGAGGTGTGACTGAGCTACATTCTATCCTACCCAGCCCTGTCTTTGATGCTTTATTTATTGGCTCTTTAAAAAATTATTCCTAAATTTAAAGATTATCTTCAAATTGTATAGTCACTTAAAAAAATAAAGATTATCTTCGTTGATAATTGAGATATGGTTGGGTATTTCGTATCCAAAATCTTTGGGATGAGAAATATTTCAGGTTTTAGAGTTTTTTTTTTGATTTGGGAATCTTTGCAGAGACTTTACTGGTTGAGGAACCCTACCTAGTCTGAAAGTCCCAAATCCTAAATGCTCCCAAATATGAAACATTTTGAGCATGGCATTATCTTAAATTTTATGTTGTATGGTCTTTATACTATTTATTATTGAATGAACTTTTTCCATATGTTTATTTACTGGAATATATGGGAACAAAATAATTTTCAGCATTAAATTGAATATTTATTCTCAATACAGCTGACATTAACAAGGCCCTCCTTGCCAAGAGAAAAAGACTAGAAGTATATACCAAGGCTTCTTTCAAATCCAGTAGCCAGAAAATTGAACATGTTTGGAAAACACAGCAGGAGCAAAGGTAGGCCGGCTGGATTTTATAGCCACATCTGTGCCTTTGCTTAGCATACACAAGTGTGCGTAGCTTAGGAAAACAACTCTGCGTTTCTTGGAGTCTCTGCTGAGAGTACATTTGTCTTAGCTGGGCGTGGGGCAGGCGCCTGCTATCCTAGCACTTAAGATGGTTTGAAGTCAGCCTGGGCTACATAGTGAGAACTGTCCAAAGTAAAGATGGAAGGAAAGGAGAGAGGAAGGAGGAGAGGCATTGGGCTTGATGTTTCTGTAAGTCAGTCGTGAGATTGCTTTTTTAAGTAACAAGTGCACTTTTAAAAAATTATAAAGGTATTCATTTTGAAAATACAGTAGTAAACGGTAAATGTCATAGAAAGTATTTGTCGTTTGATAGCTATATTTGACAGTGTAGAAAAAGGTCAGTTTTATAGTATAACTTTTGTGTATTTATAGTTTTTATATTTATATTGTGAAATTCGTTTACTTTAACTGACTTTATTCCTCTGTACAAAGTCATTGCCAAAATGGGGGAAAAACTAAGTGAACTATTTCTATTTGGAAGTACTTAACGCATTTTTCATATCAAAACCTAAAGTAGAACATGTAAAACACATGCCCTGGAAACAAAACTCTTCTTTTTTGGAAATTACATAGATGATAAAACTTCCTTAGTTGTCAAGAGCTAAAACAGAAAGGTCTTTTGTTAGCTTATTAGGAAAAAATACTTCTGGGATCGACTTAAATCTGACTCTTGCCTTCCCACCAGAATATCTCAGCTGCTAGTATTTCCTTCCTTTCTTACAGTATACAGAAAGGTCAGATCAGCTTTGAATGTTGTTTCCTAGTGGTATGAAATGTAACAGTATTCATCCCCATGTTTTGCAGGCAGAAACTTAACCAAGAGTTCTCTGAGCAGTTCCTGGCTGTGTTTCAGCAGTGGGATGCAGATCTGAAGAAGGCGGAGGAGCAGGAAGAGAAGCTGGTGGTTGGTATCACGGCCTCCGGTGGGAGGGAGCCCCGAGCCAGGCACACTCTGTCCTTGGAAGCAGGGGCTGTGCTGCCTGCATTGCTGGGGACTCTTAAACTTGTAGATGGTGGAAATTTGCCAAAGGACAAAAGGAAGATCAGTGGCTTATAGAAAAGAAATTGAGAGTAGTTTAGCTCTAGGCACCGCGAGACAGGGCCAGGGCTGGCTGCTTGTGTGGGGCCCTTTGGGGCCTCTTGCCAGCTCCTGATGGGCTCACTCAGGGCAGCGAGCAAGACGGTATCTGCTCTCCTAGACTTCGAGGAAAGGAGGGATGGCAGCAGACCCACAGTCCTCCGTGGCCGTGGCAAGAAACCCTGCTTCAGGGCTCTCACTGATGGAGTTTACTCTCTGCCCGCTCCTGAGCCAGTCCCTGAAGTCAGAATGTGGTTTGCTCTGTTTTCTCCTGTGAGCTGCTAGGGCTGGAACCCAGGGCTGTGTGTATGCTGGGCCCGGCTGAGGGTGTGGTTACACTTCATGCTCACTGTGTTTCCTGTGTCTGTCACCTCTGCTCAGATGTCACCAGGCTGCACCAGCTGCTTCTCCGGTGGTCCTTTCACTGGTGCTGATTGTGGGATGTTACTTAGCTAAGGGCTGGGGTACTGGTCTGACCAAGCCACTGCAGGGTTGGTGGGCAAGCTCCTGCAATACCCAAGGCAAGGCTCAGTAGGCCACGGGTGTGTGGGTGTGCAGTTAGGAGAGAGACGTGAGCTGAGGAAGGAAAGTTTGCGAATTCTCAGCTTGAAAACGGTTTTTCATCTGTGAAGATAGGATGACATCCCCAGGGGGAAATGTAAGGGCAGATTCCGAGGGACATCAGTGTTTAGTGCTCTGGGTGGTGAGGGGAGCAAGGAAGAACGCGGAGCATCTGGCCCAGTCTCCGGTGGACAGCACAGCCCTGTGGGCTGAGTGAAGAAAGACATTTCGGAAGGAAAGGAGCTGGGCCTGGTGACGCGCACCTGTAGTCCCAGTACTTGGGAGGCTGAGGCAGGAGGATCCTATGAGTTTTGAGGCCAACCTGGGCTGCATAGTGAGTTCAAGGACACCTGAACTACATAGGGAGACCCTGTCTTCCAAGTGCTGAGATTACAGGCCTGTGCCACCATGACAAGATATGTGTCTTCGTTTTGTTTTGTTTGTTTGTTTTCTGGTACTAGGGATCGAACTCAGAACCTTGCGCTTGTGAGGCAGGTGGCAGCACCAACTGAGCTAAGTCCCCAGCCTGGGAGACTCTGTCTCAAAAAAGCACCCCTCCCCCAAAAAAAATAACCAAGAAAGGAAAGATTAATTCTGTCACCTGCTGCCTGGAGGCTGAGTAAAGTGGACGTGGCAGTGTTGAAATCATTGGTGCCCTGGATCAGAATGGTTCTGGTGGGAAAGTGTGAACTCTGTGCCAGAGTCTGATTAGAGTGAGTACTAGACAGAACGGGAAGGAACGAAATTATCCCGAGGAGAAAAGGAACCACAGCGTTTTTACATTTTTTAAAAAGAGAAATAGCAGCATGTTTGTGTGCTGACAGGAATAACCCAGAGAGACAAATTTAAAATACTAGAGACAGTTGCTGAATTCTCGAGAATGGATGCGACGTGAAGAAGTTGGCCTTCGTGAGGAGCAGGGGTCGCTCATTCTTAGAAACAGGAGGGAAGACAGGATGGGCACGCACACGCAGATGTAGGTTCAGACACAGATGGGGACAGCTTCTGCGTAGTTAGTGAGGTAAGGTGACCATGGTGACCGCGCTGGAGAGTGGGAGGGGCGATTACAGCCGTTACCCATTAGCACTGCCCCTGGGAGAAGAAGGCTGGGCCCGCACTTGTGATCTTTCACACAGGAGGCTGAGGCAAGAGGATGCTTGAGTGCGAGACCCGGTCTCAAGAAAAGGTGGGAAAAGGAAAGTGAGGGTGGCAGGGGCAGGGATAACAGAAAAGTGCATAGACTGAGTGGACTTTAGTACCTGTTGGATTATTGCACTGTGGTGCTAAAGAAAGCAAACTGGAGCAGCCAGGAGGTGGTGCTTGGGTCCTGGGATATGGGAGAAACTGTGTGTGTGTTGGTGACAACCTGGACCCTGGAAACACACCTGGGAATCCAATTGTGGTCACTCGGCTATGATGCGACAGAGTACCTATCTCAGATAGTTGTTTGGGGAGTGGAGTTCATATCCGTTCATTTAAGAAAGTTCCGAAGAGTAGACGACGCACCGTGAGCGTGTTTGCCGTGACCAGTGCTATAGCGAGGCGATGTTACTGGGAATGCTCAGAGCTAGGGCATAAACACATAAGTGAATAGCTCGGTGGAGTAGTGGGCTGGAGAACAAAGAACTCGCTGGTGGAACTTAGCTTAAGGACGTGAAAGGTCACCATTATTGGAAGATCGCCTGCGTGGAGACTGGAATTCCAAAGAAAAGACACGTCTTGAACAGTAAGATTTCCTACTTGGTGACGTGGATGATTGTTGTGTCGCAAATTTGTGGTAAACAAATTATCTAAGTTTGGCCATTTAACAAAACGTGAAAAATATGGATTAAAAAACCATTCCTTTTAAGTTTAATACAGGGTTAGGACAGTTTTGTGCTGATTTAACACGTTAGGGCTGGGAATGTAGCTCTGAGGTAGGGTGCATGCGTAGCATGTGTGGAGCCCTGGGTTTCATCCCTAGCATTGCCAAATCTTTACCTAATTGTTATTAGACAGTATCTCTTTTATATCTGTAGAGTATAATGCGCCAACAACAGAAGGTTTTTCAACAGTCCAGAGCTGTTCAGAACCAGAGACTGAAGACGGTCCGACAGTTGTACGAGCAGTACGTAAAGGTAAGTCACGCGCGGCGAGGTCATGCGTCCTTATACAACACAGTGCACTTGCAGAACATGCCGTACATACCGTTTTTCCTTCCCAGTTTATGGGGACATTTTTTGTTTATACATTTAAAATGTTTAACTACTTTCTATTTCTAGAGATGGGAACAGGATTCACTACTTCTGACTTAAGTGTTAAATATATCTTCAGGATTCTAGTAGTTTTATGGATTATTCAAGATAGGAAATGGTAAATTGGTAATTTTACCTAAAAGTGTACTTACCACAGATTGATTCCACACTTTATTACAAACACTTGTCATTGTTCTTCGTTTAACTTAGAATAGGAAGTTTATAGATCATTTCTATGTACTGTTTTACTTGACTTTGGATCCCTAGTGTTTGTTGAGTAGAAAGCCCTCAATTTTGAATAATTCTGTATTTTCAAATATTTATTTTTTTGCGTTTTTGTCTTGTTTTCTGTGTTTGAGACAGGGTCTTACTGTGTATTCCAGGCTGGCCTTGAATTGGAGGCAATTCGCCTCTCTGAGCCTCCCCAGTGCTGGGATTATACGTGTGCACCACCAGGCCTGGCTTTGTATTTGCAGATGTTTACAGAAATATTTTATGGCATATTTGCTTTTAGAATTATTGCAGTGACCAAACATGACTTTGTATGGCAATTTATAGTCATAAAAGCCCAGAATATAATAGACGCTAAGAATTAAAAATTTGTGGGTTGGAGTGATGGTGCTGCTGCCTGCCTCACAAGCACAAGGTCCCAACTTCGATCCCTGGTACCAAAAAAAGAAAAAGAAAAAGAAACAAAACAAAAAACAAATTTGTGGGTTGGGAATTATCTACCGAATATATGCATTTTACCAGATGGTGGTCTAAAAGGTCCTAAAATATTTTTAAAGAAATTTATAATAATTTATATGAACACAAACACCCCCCTCCCCAGGAATCACACTCAGGACTTTGTGTTTGCCAGGCAGGCCCGGCCAGCACTACTGAGCTAAATCCAGGCCCATGACCGTTATTTTTAAATGGTTTGCAAGAAGAGGACTTGTTAATTAGTGTGAAGGTCTAATAAGGTTATCACTAAATGTTACCACTTAGGATAGGAACTGAAGGGTTGGGAATTTAGCTCAGTGACACAGCGCCTGCCTGGCAAGCGTGAGGTCCTGAGTTCAATACCAAAAAAAAAAAAAAAGGATAGGAACTGGAGTTTGAACTTTGACTCTTCCATCTTATCTTTCACACTGAGTTATTTTGTTTCTTTGTTTATTTTTTTAGACAGGGTCTCACTGTGTAGTTGAGACTGACCTAGAACTATGTAGGCTGGTCTCGAACTCACAGTAATTCTTCTGCCTCAGCCTCCCGAGAGCTGGGATTACAGACGTGTGCCACCACACCCGGCTTCACACTGAGTTATCATGAGACTAACTGTACCTCTGCAGTGGTTCACGGTTTCATTCCCCCTGCTACTACCCTAGTTCCGGACCTCATCGCTCTGCTTGTACTGTTACAATCCTTTGCTTTTCTCTGTCCAGTCCAACTTTATAGGTGTACCATGTTATCTTTCTAAAGCACATCTCTGTTCCTTTCTCTTTATTGCAACTGTATTCTTTTGCCAACTAAACTGGAATCAATCCCCATTTTTTACTATACAGCCACAGTAAGTTGTGTTTCCATTCCTAGTGCAAAATTTTTGTTTATATGTTTTTCTTACTGAAATAAGGTAATTGTATATTATTCTTTAATCTCTCCTCAGCACTTAATATAGTACTTTTTACATAGTAAGCACTAGAATAACTGTTGAAGAAGAGTAAAGATTTAAAGCATAAATACTGCTTTTCGTAACTTGAAGAGACAGGTCGTGCTACCGATCATTTTATCTCTGCTGCCGAATTCATGTCGCATTGACTGTTAGTAACGATAAGGAGAGTATATATATAATCTGATGGTTGGGAAATTTATTAGAAAACATCCAAGTTGGGATATTTGGTGATGGTTATCCCAGCTGGTCTTTCTCTTTTTTCCCTTAACAGTTGATTGATCCACTGTTTCAAGCAAAGTGTTGTACTGTTGTATATTCTATAATTATAGTTGATTCGTGTCATAAATTTTGCTTCGATTGAGTTTTTGTCTTCATGTATTACTCGTTTTTACTTGGAGTAAATAATGGGCATTATTTGAATATTAAAAAGTTCTCCTGAAAATTCTTTTTACAAGTTTAGAACCTGAGGCTTGTAACTAAATGAGCCTTTGTGTTTTAGAGTCTGGAGGACTTGGAGAAGAATCACGATAATCTACTTAATGGGACACAAAATGAACTTAAAAAAGAAATGGCCATGTTGCAAAAGAAGATTATGATGGAAACTGTAAGTCGTAATATTTCAGATGTAAAACATGAGGATTAATGTAAGCACTGAAGACTTTATTTGCTGAAATACGTGTAACAGTCAACTGAGAATTAAACAAATGTTTACTGTCTCCCCTTTCATGAAACAGCAGCAGCAAGAGATGGCAAGTGTCCGCAAGTCTCTGCAGTCCATGTTACTCTGACGGGTGACTCTTGGGAGAGAGGACGTGGACCTAGCAACGTGACACAATGGTGACATTAGCCGAGGGGCGCGAAGCCTTCAGTTAAACTTACCCTCGTGTTTAAGTGGAAGCCCACCCTTTCTGTGCACTTCCAAATAAGATGCAGTTAGGGGCGCGGCGGCTCCTGAGCTCTGTGTGACGCGCTTTCAGCACTTTCGTTGTGACGGTGAATGTTTCTAGCACCTTCTGTTAACTTTTGTCAATAAAGAATATTCAGATTTAGGTTTTGGCTTAGTGTATCTCTGTCCAGCCCTAAACATACAAAGAACAAACGTATTTGGGGATTGTGTGGGGCTGGGGTTGGGTTGGGCTTTGAGATGGTCTTGCTGTGCTGCCAAGGACAAGCTTTAGAGATACTAATGTAAAGATCCGGATTGACAAGTCCGCCATTCTGTAGGCGTCACAGGGCCCCACACTCAGGCTTAGTCTGCAGTTAAGCGACAGCCTTCGCGGTGACAGGGACAGTTACTTCCTGGACGGGTGACCCTGGACGCTTTTCCTGTTTCAATGCAAGTCTCCTTTTCAAATTTCAACAGTTAGTTTTTATACTGTCTTAAAAATGTGCACTTAGTACAGAGTAACCTATGAAACTTACAGTGAAATTATTTCAACATTTGAGTTAAGATTACTGTTATTTATTAAAATTACTTGAATCATTCACAATAAAAAATATGCCCATTATAAGGAAACGATTTCCCGTCTTTCCATAGTTTCAGTTGTAATATTTGCCTCTACAAACCAATCATTTATTTGACTTGAGGTTTTTCAGTTTTAAAAACAAGTCGGTCTCAATATTTAAAAAGTAGAGGGTCGGTAGGTAGCTCAGTGCTCCTGGGTTCAACCCCCGATACGCATGACTGAAAAAACCCAAAACCGTCCTTTCTAATTTCCTCTGGTGGCGTGGGACGGCCTGCACTAAGCCTGTCCTGTTCCGTGACGGTGCCCCCTGGCCGGCTGCCCGCCCTGCGTGCCCACTGTCCTTTGTCCCAAGCGCTGTGTGGCTGGCAGAGGCCACTGGAGAGTCTTGGGTTTTCCTGAATCGGCGCGACACATTCCGTCAACTACAGACGAATTAGTAACGCTCCCAGGCCCTTCAGTCCGCGGGCACACGGCGCGCACGGCCCTCCCTCCGGGGCTGGCACCTCGGGGACCGGG